CAGGTTATGCCCTTCAGTATGACCTTGAGCACAGCACGCAGTTTTGTCAGACAGTTTTGTCATCCAAGGCAAGCGGATCGTAACATCTACTCCGCCGGTTGTGTGGATGACGTGGAACGATATATCTGGAAATGCTTGGTGTTAGGTCTGATCAGATCATTGAACCCATATCCCCGCCCCTGGGAACTGACCTTGAGACCACTTCACAGTGGACGACCTGCCCAGAGAATTCTCTGCCCAGAAAAGGCCAACCTAGAGAGTTCTTTAAAACCTCTGACTCCCCGGTCCCTGGGTGCTGGTGCCATTTTGGGGCTCAGCCCATCTGGTTGTCCAGATGACCTAATAAATTCATCATCCTTTACCCCTTTCGGCCTCGTGCGTTCCTCCTTCGGGGACCGTAATGCTTGGGAGACAGGAAAGGCCTTGCAGACCGCACTGAGGGCAGCGAGGCCCACACCTGCAGGACTTGGCCCATGGCCTTCAGAGAATGCAGGGCTGGGCCAGGGGTGCCCCAAGGACCTCTCCTAGGAGGCTGCAGAGGTCTGTCCCGCCCTTCTCGGCTCCGACGTGGCAGTTGGATAAGAAATGGTTAAAACCAGGAAAGTCCATGTTTCTCGAGAATGTCGGAGGGACTTTCCCAGGGCCACACCTGGTGGTTTCCTCCGGCGGCCCCAACCCCGGCACAGTGACTCCAGAGCTGAAAAGCGCCTCCCGCTCACATAGGCACACCTGTTGTGACCGGCAGCCAGAGGCCCTGCCGCTGGGCCCTGCCCAGAGGTGCTACCCCTGGTCCTCACAGCAGCACCAAGAGAAACCCCTGAGATCCTCCGCCGCTCCCCCCAGGGTTCCCAGGCTTCCGCCTGCGGGCGCAGCCCGCATAGAACTGCACCTCCTGGGCACTGTGATTGGGTGGGGCCCTGTGATTCCCCAACCAAAGCATCCAATTGCTGATGCGAGAGCCCCCTGCCCTCCGACAGTAACTGTTAGACAAGGTCACTGCTCTCTCAGGATCCCTGAGTGACTGTCGCGAGCTGAGCCCCCTGCTGGCCCACTGGGGACTTGCAGCTTTGGTGGTTAATAACCTTTGTTGTTTATAAGCCATTGAGGTTTGCAACATACCCTCTTCTAGTCTATCCCTAGGAGTCTACCTAGTTTTCCCTGGGGAACCTGCTCAGCTCTCAGCACCCCTGCTCTCCTCTCTCCAGCAAGCCCGTCTCTCCTCCCAGTGCCTTACGTATCCTCAGAGCAATACATGTGCGTGTCTAGCACCTACCAGGAAGCAGGCACCATGTGCTGAGGACATAGCGGGGAGACCTAGGTGTCCCCCAGGACAGCATGGTGAACTCTGGGACACACGCTGCAGCAGGTGGTGATTTTGTGAATCTGGCACGGGGGGCGGGGGGCAGCAGAGAGGAGGCGGGCTTGCCAGAAGAAAGGATGCCCCAGCCGACTTTGGAGAAAGGAGAGACAGGCAGGGAATTTGGGGTCAAAGGTGAGGTATTGCAGGCAGTGGGAGCACGCGTGGAGGCACAGAAGTAGGAGAAGAGGGGGACTTGTTCAGGGCATGGTGGTGGCTGGGGAAGGCGGGTGTGTGTGTGTGTGAGAGAGAGGTGGGAGCTGGGCTGGAGCCCTGTGCAGGGACAGTTCCGCTGGGCATCTCTGAGGTTACATCCTCTGTGTGGATAAGTGAATGAGTGTCTTGATGTCGTTTTGAGCTGCTGGCCCCAGCTGGGCAGCATGGCCACCGTTTCATCTGGGTGGCACAGGAGCCTGGCGGGTCCTGAAGGGAGAAGGTCTGTGGGAGGCGTCACCACATGTTCCCAATGGCTCTGAGGAGTCGTAGAGATCGAAGTGGCAATTCAGAGGCAGGATAAGGACCAGAGGTGGGAAGAGGGATATATATATATATATATTTGATTTCAGAGAGGGAGAGAGAGATAGAAACATCAATGATGAGAGAGAATCATTGATTGGCTGCCTCCTGCACACCCCCTACTGGGGATCGAGCCTGCAACCTGGGCATGTGCCCTTGGCCGGAGTCGAACCTGAGACCCTTCAGTCCGCAGGCCGATGCTCTATCCACTGAGCCAAACCAACTAGGGCAGAGGGGATCTTTCTGGCAGCTCTCGAGGGACACGCTCACGTCTGCCTTCTACGAAGGGAGGCTGAGTGTATACTGGGAAGAACAGGAACTCTGCCATCATAGAGGTTTGAGTTCTGACTTGACCACTTGCTCTGTATGACCTTGAGCAAGTCATGACCTTTCTCATACGGTTGGTGTGAAACAAAAGGAGATGAAGCGCCTGCTGCCTGGTGGGCCCTGACTCAGCCCTGGCTGCCTCCTCTGTCCATACATGGCTGGGGCCTGTCCGTCACAGCGGCCTCGCCGGTCCAGCGCCTACAGAGGGGAAAGAACCAGGGCGGGTGGGATGAGGAAGGCCTGGGCACTGCGACTCACGCTCATTGATGCCGGGCAGAGGGACAGGG